TATTTGCAGGATGGCATTTGCCAAGGTAAACCTGAGCTGCAAACATACAGAGTCTTTCACTATAAGCGGTTTCTCTTTGCTATAAATGGTCCCTTTATTGAAAATGTTCTCTCTTCACCTTTTCATCTTGGACTATTTATACCATCCCACCATCCTTTTCCTTTTTGTAACATTATTTCAGCTGCAGAAAAAAAATAATAGGCAAATAATATTATTCCAAGAATACTGGAATATTATTCCTTGTAATAAACTAGCTCCTTTTAAAATGTCAGAGAGGTTTTCAATTTTGTTCTATATAAGTTTGTTGCTTTAATGGTGAAATGCAGAAACTTTCTACTTACACTTCTAAATTTGGAAAAGAATCAAACTAATTTGAGAGAGTAACCTGGCAAGAAAGGAAGACAGAAACAAGACGACGTGAGAGAGGATTGCTGCACAACCTCACAGTCTAACACAGGACACAAAATAGGAAGCCCCATTCACTGAGAAAGCTGGATGCTCCTGATCCCTTCAGTTGCCTATGTTGCTGTACGGGCATTGCCTTTTCTTTCAGGACACCTTGGCAAGAACTGACATCTGGCTTAGAGATGCATAAATGAACTCTAAATTGCCCAAATGGAATACTCTAATATCCCACATAACATTTCTTTCCTTATCATAATATTAAGTTCTGCATGCCCTCAACTACTCTATGCTGGAAGCAATGTAATAAAGAAACAACTGAATAATAAAGGAAATATGATCATCTCACAGTCTGAATTTCTCACCCCTGAAATCAGAGGGATAACTGTCAGTTCTGTGGCCTGTAAGGAACCCTGCAGGTAGGAATGTATAGTTTAAAATAACTTATATTTGATCCTGCTTTACTTTTTCCTACAGATTTCTTAGTAACCTGTACAGTTCCCTGCATTGACCTCTCCCTTTTGGAGTGGTGAAAGCAATAAATACAGTTGTTGAAATGTAACCTCTTAAAAGAATGTTGCTAGTCATTACTGACAATGAACACATAAAAATTTCACAGTGTTTGGATGCAGAATTTTGTCTCAGGCCTGGTTTTCCCAGTATATACATTTTAAGGTCTTTAGGGAAGGTATATTGTCTTTTGAAAAAAATCAGTAACTGTATAACAAATAATAATAAGTATATCTAGATATAAGAAATACAATAAAAGCTGTTTACAGTCTCACCAGGTTTAAATATTATACCAAACATGCTTCGAAATTCTGGTTCTCATTTGACAAAAGGGAATGCCAGAAACTCCCCGGCTCCTGAACTACTGTCCTCTGAATTCAAAGAGGAACTGTTAAGCCCTGGATCTGTGCCTGAGATTTTTTTTATCTGGTGTCACCAAAGGGTGTGATCATTAATACCAGTTAAACAAGAAGCCAGCACGTTCCACACAATCAAAGGCTGAACCCAGGATTCGGGAGATGGGTGTCCTGCTCCTACTTTTCTGCTGGTGAGGTGCCATGTCACTTATGAAGCTCATGTTGGCTGGGCTGCTCCTAATTTTTGCCCATCAATTTGATACTAGCTTGAGGGCCATAACTATGCCTCCCTACAGGTTTTTCAGTCTGCTGAGTCGATGTAGCAAACACCACAAGCAATGCATTTTTACAGAATAAAGAGTATACTTATGTGCATTATAGCTATATAGTTAACATCTTTTCATAGTCAAGTCAATTATTGGGAGCTTCTACACAGACTTGAACTTTAGATGTCTAGTAATAATAAAGTTCCTGAAGATTTGTATAAGGTCAGTTTAAGAGAGGGATGGAACACAGATGGCTGACATAAACCAAGTGGTCCCCACAAAGAGCGTGCTTAATTAAAGAGGAAAGAACGGTAGAGTGTTAGTGGACGCCCTGGGACAACTTTATCAGGTAACATAAAGCTGTGACAGTGAGTGTTTCTCGATGATTGCCCAGTACTTCAATATGTGGCAAGGGGCAGTGCACAGGGCACCATCAGTGTACTCTACATGGGAACAAAAATGGACTGTTGGAGCACAACACTTTCAAGAGTGCCTACATCATTAAAGGTTGACCGCATCTCACTGATCTTGAACAAGGCTTAGATCATGCCGCTATCTCCATCTGATTGTCTCAATCCTTTTACCTGAAGCTGGGTCCAAAAATGAATGAGTTGGTTTGTGCAGAGATTGGTCAGGTCAATATCCACATTTGTGGTTGGAGTTAAATGTGAGGGCTCTGTCCCACGTTTCATTTCATTGTGGAGACATACCCTTGAACTCCTTTGTTACTTACACACTTCACTATTAAAGAAGCCATAGAAATCTTCAGTGGAATCTAACTTGCTGATTAGATCATGCTATGCCTGACAGATACTATGGAAAAAATAGAATATTTGCACAGAAGACAACTAAGTAGACATAGGGGAACAAAGAAACGCCAACTATTCGGTAAGGCTTTACCTGCTATGACTAATTTTGTAGAGATATGGAAAGAATGGAAATGTTAAAAGAAAGGGCAATGAATACAAGTGGCTTAGTTCTTAAGCTCAGTTACAAACGAAAGCCATTAAAACTATGGAAAGTCCACGAAGAGTATTTATTTCAAAACAGGAACTTGCAGGTCTGATGGTATTGCCCCTCATAAGTGTGAAATTCTAGAACAGAAGTCCCACAGGAAAGCTGCTGCAGGAAAGGACTTAATAGAGGGCATGAATGAAGCACTGTGCTTCAAGGAGCAAGGGAATGAACCTAGCCTCCTAGGACTGTTTTGGTGTTTTTTTTTTTTTTTTTTCAAAAGGTGAGACTGTTTGAAGAGGAAAATTAATTTCCAGTCAGATGGAGCAGAATCAGTGATGCTTTAGGGGAATGTTTGTTTTTTCCCCATGTGGTTGAGCAATGATTCAAAGGGACTGACATTAATAGAAACAACTAGTGTGTGTTTAAGAAGTGATTAGGGGGATAAAACTTAACAACCAATAAAGCCAGTTCAGTATGGGAGACAGGTATGCATACAAAACATAATATCTCATGTGACTAAAATTAATGATAAAAAATCTGAGTTTTCTGTTTGTACTGATGTTAAGTGTTCACTATATGAGAAAAAATGTCTATTTGCTTTTTTGCCTCAATAAGCTGCAACATCGTTGTGGTTTGTTTGGATAGTATATACTCCTTTCAAGTATCAGTAGTGAAGATAGTAACCAATGATCCGGCGGAAGGAAACCTGTGTTTCTGTTCTGTTCTTGAAAAAACCCCAACCCAGTACATTCTACTTCTTTTGTCCTATTTTCTTTTCACCTTGCACACAGCTCACGAACCAGTACTCTCTTGTTTCATTAATGAAGTTCCAGCTCAGTCCTTCTTTCATCTCACTTTCACGCTGGTGATAATTTCTGCTCCCGTGTCAGCCCTGCACAGGAATCACAGGTACTACTGGTGACTGGGGGGGGGACACTGAAACACAGTGAGGTCCACACCTAGATCAGACTTTGTGGATCAACAGCACAGGATGGGGCTGTTATCCTCCTGGGATATCAGAATGCAGGGAGGTCTGGTCACTGTCTTTAAGTGGCCAAGGATGGTAAGCAAAAGGCACTTCCACTTATCACGATAGCAACTCTGACTGCCTCTGTAACATTTCCTGGTTGCTGTCAGGGATTGCAGACCGTCACTGCTGGGTTCCCATTCCCCTTGCTGTCACTAATGCAAGTGGTTGGGCCACTGCCTAGGGGAGGTCTCAATTACAGAGGTCCCTTCTGTCCCTTTTTCCCTCGACAGAATGAATGTTCTCTAGGTCCATACATGGCTGTTGGCAAAGGGGAAGGATCCTTGAATTAAAGCATCTGATCTCGGGGAGAGACTGTCCTCAAACCCTATATCCTATATATTCTGCAGGAGGAGCTGAAGTCACACTCCTGGATGTGGCCTAAATGTAGGGGTCACTGTAAAGAGAATGGAGGCCTCAACCCACTTTCAGAACAGAAGGGACAGAGCTGGGATCCCTTGCTTATTCAGTGTCTCTCTTACCTTCACTGAGGGCCTCCATCCCTCCACAGGAGGGGCACAGTGCTGTGGGGTGAGGAGGAACCACAGAATCATAGAATGGCTGAAATTGGAAGGCATTTCTGGAGATCACCTTGTCCAAATCCCCTGCTCAAGCAGGGCCACCCAGAGCAAGTTTCCCAGGACTGCATTACAACGAGTATCTCTGAGGATGGAGACTCCACAACCTCCCTGGGCAACCTGTGCCAGGGGCTCAGTCACCCTCACATTAAAAAAGTGTTTCCCGATGTTGAGAGGGAACCTCCTGTGTTTCAGTTTGTGCCCATTGCCTCTGGTCCTGTCACTGGGCACCAGAGAAAAATGCCTTTGTCCTCTTTGCATCTTCCCTTCAGGTATTTGTACACATCAGCGAGATCCCACCGAGCCTGCTCTTCCCCAGGCTGAGCAGCCACAGCTCTCTCAGCCTTTCCTCGTAGGAGAGATGCTCCGGTCCCTTAACCACCTCCGTGATTCTTCGCTGGACTCTCTCCAGTACATCCGTCTCTCTCTCGTACTGGGGAGCCCAGACCTGGGAGCCAGCACCCCCGCTGCGGCCTCACCGGTGTTGAGGCAGAAGGGCAGGATCGCCTCCCTCGACCTGCTGGCATTAGCTTTGCCGAATTCAGCCCCGAGTACCCATTCGCTTTCTTTGCAGCAAGGGCACGGCGATGGCCCATGTCCAGCCGGGTGCCCACCAGGACCCACAGGTCCGTTCCCGCCGAGCTGCTTTCCCGCCCGGTGGCCCGCAGCCTGTACCAGCGCCTGGCTTGTTCCTCCCCAGGGGCACCGCTTCGCCTTTCCCCTTGTTGAAGCTGCTCTCGCTACCTGTGCCCATCTCGGGGGGGGGGGGGGGGGGGGTGCAGCGGGAGCTGCGGGGACACCCACGCACCCAGGCGAGGGGAGCAGCCTGCAGGGGAAGGCGCGGAAAGGCGCACGGGGGGGGGGGGGGAGGGGGGCAGCGGCCCACGGGGGACTCCCGCCCCGGGCTCCCCCTTCTCCCCGCTCCCCCGGCTGCCACCGCCGGGCCGGCGGCCGCGCCCCCTGCCCCTGCCCGGGGGGAGGGCGGAGGGAGGGCCGAGGCACGGTGCGGAGCGCCCGCCTCGCCCCCCTCGCACACACCTCCCCTCGCAACACCCTCACGCGCGCACACACACGCGCGCTCGCAGCCTCACGGCCCCTCGCACCGCGCCCCCCCCCCCCACCCCCCCCCGCCCAGGCCGGGCGGTGGCAGCCGGGGCCGCTCGCAGGGTGCCCGCCCATGGCTGCTGACCGGAGCCTGATCGAGGGCGCCGAGCCCTTCCCGCGCCGGGAGGAGGCTCCGGAGTGGGGCTACGAGGAAGGTGAGGAGGCGGGCGGCGGCTGCGGCGGGGAGAAACTTTCCCCGCGGCCGGGGGAAGGTGGCGGCGGGAGGATTGAAGCAACGGCTGGGGGGGGGGGGGGGGGGGGTAGAAGCTGAGGGGACACACACACACACACACACACACACACACGCACCAAATCGCCCCCCGGCCGCCCCGAGCCGCGGGGAGGCGCCGGCCCGCAGCGGGGGGCAGGCCGGTCGCCGGCGGCCGCGGAGCCGATCGGCAGCGGTGACCGGGGCCGGCCCCGCGGAGCTGGCGCCCCCCCCCCCCGGTTCCCGCGGCGGGGCGGTCGGGGTGGGTGGCCCGGGGAGCCGCCGTGCCGGCTGCCCCCCGTAACGGCTCTCCCTTGTGTCCCAGGAGTGGAGTGGGGGCTGCTTTTCCCTGATGCTAACGGGGAGTACCAGTCGCCGATTAACTTGAACTCGAGAGAAGCCAGATATGACCCCTCGCTCCTGGAAGTGCGTTTGTCGCCAAACTACGTCGTGTGTCGTGACTGTGAAGTGATCAACGACGGGCATTCCATCCAGATTGCCCTGAAGTCGAAATCAGGTAGGCTGAGACACGGCCCCTGCTTTCCCCCCCCTCTTAGAGCTTTGCGGTGCCTCACGGCTCGCTGCCCGCTCGGCCGGTGAGAGCGTTGCTGTTGGCTTCGGTGGGGAAAAGGAGCAAGGTCTGCGGTGGGAGCTGCAGGTGTCAACACCCAAACCGGTCAGTCAGACTGCTCCCGAGCACGTCCAGAGTTCCCTCCTTGTGGTGCTGTCATCTAATTCACTGGCGCTGACGGCCCGTCTGCGTTCAGAAGCAGTCCAGGCTGTCCCTAACACGGTGAGATGCCAAACCATTTTGTACAGCTGGCAAAATCTGTCCTCAGGCCAAAGACTGTGTACGTTAAAAGAGCTTTTTCCATTAATTTGAGTGGGTTCTGAATACTGACTGCAGAATTGGGCGGCTTAAGATAGATACATCGTGCTTACAGTAGTGATGAAGAGCAGGTAGCAAAGCACTCCGCATTCCTTAATGTTTTTTTTGTGTTTTTTTTTTTAGTGTCATTCATCAAATAAAAACTAGAAGCAAATAATTAAAGAAACAATTCCAACTTAAGTGAAATTGCAGTATCTCATTCAGACCTTTCATGTGGGTAAACTCTTCTGTATGAAGGAGACAACTGTCAAGGAAGTAGGGAGAAAAAAAAATGTCCATTGTGCTTTTCAGCACTGTAGTAGTTCTTACCGTGTGTTTGGAAAAGCATCCAAGTTATTTGAACCAATCTTCGCTAGTAACAGCCTTTTCGGGGCATCTAAACAGCTGAATGTTGTCAAGCCATGAGACAGTCCATCTTTTGTTTCCTTCTGAGATCCCAGTAGTCCTGGGAGCTATAGCTGTGCTGAGAGTGGAGTCAGTTCAGTTTTACACTGGATTTTTGAAAAAGGAAGGATTTGTTATTTTACTAATGATGCTTTCCTTCGTAATGTAATATTCATGATAAATTCCATGTAGTATTGCAACACAGAACATTTATTTGCACAGAATTTGGCAGATTTGCAACAGGATAGAAATTTTATACTTCCAGTCAGTTTTACTGCCTTCGTGAGGAGCAGAGCTGTTTTCCCAAGGAGTAAAGGTCTCTCTGCTGGATCAGGAAGGTTCTTGAATTCTCCTGTGGAGGAGGTGAGAGTGACTGCAAAAGACATCATCGCTTGCATGCCAAAATGCAACTCCCTCAACCCTACTTTTCCCAAGGGCAGTTTGTAACTTAGTAGTAATATGTAGTAAGGTGGGACCGACACACCTAAACGCATGTGCAAAACCCTTGAAGACTTAAGAGAAGGACAGATTTCTTTTTAAACGTGAATGCACTGTGATGCCAGACTGATGAAACTGGAAATATAAGAAAAGGTGAAATAGAATAAAAGTTTATGACTGAGGAATGGAATTATGATCTAAGAAATCTTGGTTTAGTTTCAGCTTTTTTTTTAGATTTTACGTTACATCATTTCCCATTCTCAGTTTGTAAACTGGGGGATAATTTTTCCATTTTTGGGAGGGGGGAAGATGACGTTTGTTATTCCTACCAAGAGGAGAAAGAGTTAATGAGCTGTGTTTGACCTAGTATTCTGGCCAGTTTTCAGGAACTGCGGAAACTCCTGCAGCTTCTTTTCCTCACAGGGGATCTCTGATGACAAATCCATTTAGCCAGATTATTTTAATGGGAACTGTTGAGCACTAAATGCTTTTGAAACTCTGTCCAATTAATGTGGAAGAGATCCTCATCTACTGTAATGTTAGCGGTCGAAGAAAAACTTCTTTGTGGAAAAAAGCAAACTGATTAAGAGACATATTAAAAATCAATTTGTCATTACTGGTGATTGATTTTATCCTTTAATTCAGGACATGCAGTCCGTCTGGAATTCTTAAATCCTTCTCATTATTTAATTGCAAACATTTTCACAGACTGCTTCCAGTTCGATCATTGTACATGTGCTGTGCGTTAGGTGGAAGAAGCATGACCAGCTATGTCATGGAATTGTATATTGAAAAATGCTTTAGAGGGTATCCTGCTACCAGAGAGACTTCTTTTAAGCCAGCAGTGGATTGCACAGTGGATGATGGTTTCAGAATGATTTTCTAATGAAGAACAAAAAATTGCTGAAAGGCAAAGCAAAGTTAAGTATGTTTCATGCATTGACAAGGATCAAGATTTGATGAAAGGCAAAGGAAAGATAAACATGCTTCATGCGTTGAGATACTTTTATCATGGGATCAGTTTTATAATTTCATAATAATAATTATTATATAACAATAATAAAATAAACTCTTTGAAGCTTCTGGAGATCCAGAACTACATCATACAGAGAACATTTGTTCTAGTTTCACATTCTCCAGGAGCAATATTTTAAAAGAGAGAAAATGCTTAATTTTCCTAAGAAGTGGCACTAATTGAGTAACATGTTTCTTTTTATTTGTCCAGATTTCCCTAAATACTTCAATTGGTTGTTTCCCGCAGTGTTCACCAGATTTGTAGATTTTCCCTGTAGGTTATAGTTGTAGATAGCATATAGATAAAGCAAATTTAACGATCAAATCTGACTCTATAACTGCACTTAGGACATTTCATTTTAAAAACCGTAATGGCTGTCAGATTAGTTAGGAAGGATTATTAAAGGAGGATTCATTGGACTATTTCACTTTCTTCTTCAGTGTAATTGCTTATGGAAACCCTAACTGATCAGTTTTCTTCAGGTTTTTTTATAGTTCTGCACTTTTGTTTTTGTGTTTGTACAGCTGCAATATGATTCAATTGCTAAATCATGTTTTATTATTACATGATGTCTTGTGCTCCAAACTAAGGCCGTTTAGTTTGTGTGTCAAAATAACTTTATATTATGGAACTTTAATCCCCTGAAATTGTAGGTTATGCAATTAAATAATCCTGTCGATAATCAGAGATTGTAAAAGCTTCATTCAAAGTCTGTGAAATGTAAGCTAGAATTTAATGGATTCTGAGGAAGACTTTGAGTGTCCTTAAGTAAAATCCAACCCTGTCTAGAAGCCAATATTCAGTGATTTCAGTGGGAAGTTACTTATAGCTTGTGAGGTAATATTTGATCTGAAGCAGATTCAGAAATCCCTGGGTCAAACGTTTCCACTGATTAATTCCAAAGTAGATTGGGCCTCACAAGGTATGACTGCTCACTTTTACTACTTAGGGTGGAAGTCTCTATGACTGCAAAAGAATCAAGCTACTATATAAATTGTGTGTGTGTGTGTGTTGCAATTGTGGACAGATGCTTTTAAGAAATTCTGGATGTTTAAAAAACTGAGGTAAAAAACCAAGCCATGCCTGCCTAGAAGCTGCTTTTAAGTAAACTAGGTATGTTGTTGCTCCTGTGTGTAGGTTTGATTATATTTGGATATGGAGGCATTCTGTATCTCAGAAGCCTGACAGGTGGTGTATGACTGAACACCTTTACCTAGCAAAATATTGGCAATCAAAAGTTTTCTATCAGTTTCTGTGACTCATAGCAAATATAGGTGACAGAGATTAAGCATTTGGACAAGTTGGAGGTAGTTACCAGTTCAATTCAGAACCCCCACCATCTGTTAAGAGTGCACAGATACTGTCTTGATAAAAGCAATAAACATATTCACTCTTCTGACCGATAAAGGTACAATGTTTTTATTCTGTGTTATGACCAGCTGTTCTGCCTTATAAAACAAAGAGTGCAGCATGACAGCAGTTTCACTGTTGTTTGCAACAGTGCCTGAATTTACGTTCTGTACCTGCACGGTACTTCAAAAGTAAGGATGTCAAGTCTGTCAACTTCACTCTTCTCCACTCTAGTACTGCTGGTAATGAAGAAGCTTGCAACAATATCCCCACTGTATTTGGAGAATACATTCAGTGGCTTCTCTTGCTTCGAAAGCCAAGTTCCTTACCATTTGTCTTCTTTCCCAGTGCTATTAGGGGGACCATTACCTCGAGGACATGAGTTTGAACTGCACGATGTTCGATTTCACTGGGGAAGAGAAAACCAGCGTGGTTCTGAACACACGGTTAATTTTAAGGCCTTTCCCATGGAGGTAAGAGTGACGCTGCATTGCATAACATCTGCTAAATGCAAAAGATTTGATTTCACACCCTGAATTCCTGGTAGTTCAAAAGAGAGTTTCTTTAAGCTCAGCGTTTCCTTGCTTTATATTTCAACCACAAAGTTGTCTTGTTGAGGTGTGCTTTACCGCAGGTAAATTAAGATATGCATCTGGAATAGAATGCCTCCAGCACTCTTCACATCGTATGATTAATTGGTCATAAAGTTAACTTGCAGAATTATTAACTTCTGTTTTAATAATACTAGCGTTCTAACAAAATCTGCCATTTCAACTCTTCCTATGTCACCTTGACTAGTAGCTATAGATGGGGAGAACTAGCCACTGGAAATATTTCCATGGTGAACAGCTTAGGTAAATTTGGAGTAAGTGTAGAGCAATTTGTTCATGAAACAGCTTTACATACCTGAAAATTGAAGATTATGTGATATTCTTGGGTATGTTCTGTAATATCTCAATGAATGATGAAATTATGAAACAAAATTATGCTCATGCAGTCTGAAAAAATTGAGCTGTTCATGGGGGTGTCAGTTTGGTCTCCTGGGCAACCCAAAATGCTAGGACCTATTTATCCTGCCCTCCAGCAGCCATTTATCATATTATTTCACTTCCCACCGTCCCAGTGATTATACTTGTTAGTGAGTGGCTTGGAGTATCCCTTGGACCCTGGGCTGCAAGACTAGTTTTAACAGATACCAACCCTGATGTTTTTTGACTTCAGCTTTGCATCTTTTATTTAATTTGTTGTGCACTATCCGTTTTAAAGAAACTCAAGATTTTTCCAGAGCTCTTTGAGGTTTTTTTTGCCTTATTTATCTACCATAATCCCTCATGAGCCTGAAACTGTTTCCTTTTTCTCTGTGTTGTTCAGTGCTAGGAAATTTGTTACTGTAGCATTACATTTGTGAGTGCCAGACTACTGGAACAGAACTGCTTTACTGGAAAGGATATAAAAAGTATTAGAGCAACTACTGCAGAGCTAAATGGAAAAAGCTGGTGGATTTATCTAATTCCTAGGGTTGTTCAGGTACTTTCTTTAAGAGTTGTGGGTCAGATTTTGGTCTCTGCTGTTTGCTATTTTGAACTGGTCCATCAAAAAACCCCATATATACAGTCACTCATAAGGGCTTTGCAGGTTGAGTTGAGGCAAATAATAAAATCATAGAATCATTTCATTCATAAAAGACCTTTACGATCATCGAGTCCAACCGCAAACCTGACACTGCCAAGTCCACCACTGAACCATGTCCCTAAGTGCCACATCTATGTGTAGGTCCTCTTTGCAGGTTGATTTCAGGCAGAGCCCAGCAGTGCAGGAAAATTCCTTGGATGGGGAAGACTCATCAACCAAGGGGAAAGAAGAGGAATCACCTCTGCATCCTGTTTACCTGGCATAATATATATACACCATGATTTATATGGGCAGTAAGACCTTCAAGATACGGCAGTGCTCCCCCGGGGCAGGAAGTAGCTTATGTTCCTTATGAAACAGCTCTACTTAGAGCTTTTCCTCAAGGCTGATCCAGCACGTGGTGATCAAGAAATACTGACGTGAACTATATCAAGAGCTGTACTTGGGAGTCTACAAGGGTCTCCTTGTTTGCTAAGGATCACTGTAAACAGTCTTGGTGGTATGTGGGAACAGTCTATTGATAATGTACAGAAACCCCAGAATTCTCTACTCCAAATCAGTCTAGAGAAAAATATACTTGACCCAGAGATGCAAAACAGCAAACTTAATCAGTCATGAAGGGATTTAATTCTTCACCAACTTTAAAAGCAGCATGGCAGCTGCACAAACAGAATTCTGGCACAGTTGAAGAACATCACCTGGAGGTGAGCAAGCTGGTGTTACCCTGTCTCTTGCATCAGAGCAGCTTTCAGCTAGACCCTGATCTGTTACTGATGCAAAAATTCTGTAGCAGGAAATAAGTGACTTATAATACACTTCAAATACTGTGTGAATGTTTAATTCTGTAAACAGATCCTTATGCAGATGAATTCTTCTGACAGAAAATGACAGCGTTCCTTGTCGTATCCAAGGTCGGTTGCACACAGGTGTATTGGCTGAGCCAGTTCATCATCTTCTGCCCCATGTTGCAAGAAAGTGCAGGGCAGTTTGTTCAACAGAATTGCATTTCCTTCTGCTATATGCACAAAGAGCTGCTGTATTAACTCAATCTCAAATTGTCCAAATCAAATATTATACTTGGGCAATAATAAAACAGGTGCTTATGACGACTATAAATGTTTATGAAGTAGTACGCCTGAGCCTCCACAATGGAAGACTTTCTGTTTCCATTCCAGGGATTGCCCCATCTAATTTTTTTCTGTGAAGAAGAATCATTCTGATCAAGAGACCAGGAAATCTTACTTTCTTAACTTTTAACATTAGCATTGTTCCAGCAACATACAGGTGTTGGAAAACACTGTATCCTGAAGGCATATTGGGCTTGATTTTCGCTGGGTTTGTTAGTTACTGAATGCAGACAGTGGTGGGTGCCTATTTTGGCTACATACAAACAGTCTGGTGTAGTTTATGCTTTCATCCTGTACTAAATACAAAATAAACTGGCAGTTGTTTGTGCACAAGTGCATGCCTAGAAATATGTTGAGCACCAAGTGCATAAGTTTTGGTCTTCTGCCAGTGGAGCAAATCTAGTAGGATGTTTTCCTACGAAACTAGAAATGATTTACAAAGGAAATGACAAGGATTTTAAGTTCTCCTCTCTTTGTGGGCGGAAGACAAGTCAAGGGGATAAGCAGTAGTATAAAAACCATCAGTGCTTGATTTACGTGGGTACATTAACAACACAACAAACTAGGCCCAGATTATATATTCCATTACATTGTTATAAACCCCAAGCAGTTCTACAGAAACCAACTTTGAGTTTGAAGAGATCTATCTGAGATGACTATCTAAGACTATGTTTTGACAGGAGCAGCAGTTTGATTTTTTACGACTGAAGACTGCAAGGCTTCATTTTATTACATTGGACTACATAGTTGTGGAACAGCTTCAGATTATCAGAGTAATGATCTTTGCAAAGGATGACTAAAAAAGAGTGTTATTTTATTTTTCAAAATTTGGAAGACACTCTTCAGTTACTTCCTTATTCTCTTCACCTTTGATACTGTAATTGCTTTTATAGATATTAGGCAATATCCTGTATTAGTTGGGTAATATCCCATGTCTCTTAATGTCTATTATTTCTTAATAGACAGCTGGGGCCTTTGCATGTGGTTGGGATATATAGCCTTATGGTGAAATGGGTTAGACTGCTAAGCTTATGTAACCTCTGGAACAGCTTATTGAAACAATTCACACTGCTGAAAACCATTGTTCATGTGGCTTGGGGGGGGAGTTCATTGTTATTTTTATTATTCAGCAAAGATATTTTTTCCACCTTGACTGAAAAAAACAGAATGTTGACAGTAACACACCAGTGTTACCATTTTCACTAAAACATTTGTGTTTGCAATCAGTCAGGAAAGCAGGACAAAACAATAAAGAGTTGTCAAGGGTAAATACTGTAACACATCTTTTTATACAAATGAGGGCTGTGCGTATCAGTACAACACTCCAGTCTATTCCATGAAAACAAGAGCATGAAGTCCCTTCTTGCCTTTTGGCCAGAAACTGGAAGGAGACATTTGTGCTACTTTCTCCAGAAATCTTTCCCACCAAGTACTTCTACTGCACGTAAATGGTGTTGCTTTGCCTTTTGGCCAAAGCTGATTTGGCCAATGCTTGTGCTAAATATCTAGTTATGATCTTAACACTGAGAGACTGTTTCTTGCCAGCAAATGGAACAAGGTACCAAAGATTAGACTCTGCTTTACAGTACACGTTTCCACAGAGCAGTAAAATCCACACTTATACATGTGATTTACCTGAACCTGATTTAGGTGTAAGAAAGAGAGGAACTACTTGACATCTTTATTCCTCTCATTAGTGCCAGGAGAATGGATTGGAGAAGGAGGAAGAACAAATGAAGATCTAAGGGAACTCTGACTCTCTCCCTTACCTTTGAGGTATAACAGGGAGATAGAGGGGGACATGAATAGCAAATTACTGCTGTTTATTTTTGTTGTTAACAAAGTTAAAATAGCAGCAGCTAAAAATGGAGTCCCATTGTACCCAATCTTTGTATAAACACAGCATACTATAGTGCCAGGCTGAATCAATTTACAGTCAAAAAAGACAGGAAAGACAGCAGGGGAAAGTGAACCATATAACAGCATCAGTGCTATTTTATGGAAATAAAAGGAAAAGGAAAGAAAAGAAAAAAGAAAAGGAAAAGAAGAAAAAAGAAAAGAAAAGAAAAGAAAAGAAAAGAAAAGAAAAGAAAAGAAAAGAAAAGAAAAGAAAAGAAAAGAAAAGAAAAGAAAAGAAAAGAAAAGAAAAGAAAAGAAAAGAAAAGAAAAGAAAAGAAAAGAAAAGAAAAGAAAAGAAAAGAAAAGAAAAGGAAGAGAAAAGAAAAGAGAAAAGAAAGAAAAGAGAAAAGAAAAGAAAAGAAAAGAAAAGAAAAGAAAAGAAAAGAAAAGAAAAGAAAAGAAAAGAAAAGAAAAGAAAAGAAAAGAAAAGAAAAGAAAAGAAAAGAAAAGAAAAGAAAAGAAAAGAAAAGAGAAAAGAAAGAAAAGAGAAAAGAAAAGAAAAGAAAAGAAAAGAAAAGAAAAGAAAAGAAAAGAAAAGAAAAGAAAAGAAAAGAAAAGAAAAGAAAAGAAAAGAAAAGAAAAGAAAAGAAAAGAAAAGAAAAGAAAAGAAAAGAAAAGAAAAGAAAAGAAAGAGAAAAGAAGAGAAAAGAGAAAAGAAAAGAAAAGAAAAGAAAAGAAAAGAAAAGAAAAGAAAAGAAAAGAAAAGAAAAGAAAAGAAAAGAAAAGAAAAGAAAAGAAAAGAAAAGAAAAGAAAAGAAAAGAAAAGAAAAGAAAAGGAAGAGAAAAGAAAAGAAAAGAAAAGAAAAGAAAAGAAA